TAATCTATGTATTTCTACATGGCCTTATCTGACCAGAGAACTTCTGGTGCATCTAAACTTCCCAGTCACTACATGGTGTCTCTCCACGATGCCTCCATGCCTCTCTCCCCAGAATTCTCCTTGTCTCTTCACTCCACCTATCTTCCTGCCTCTACTGGACAGTGGTTTATTCATCAGTCAATAAGAGAAACATATATACAACAGAACATCCCCCATCAGGTTCCCAGCTGGGTAAGACTGCTGATAATTTTTTTCACCCTGTAAAACACACAGCACTTTCTGGTACTGTGAAAGCTAGCCGGTGAAAAGCAAGCTTCAAGGTCAGTACTAGCTTGAATTCTCTGTCCTATGACTCAAGTATATGGTATCTTCAACAACAGGATTTTACTGTAAAGTTCTGGAGGGCAACCAAGAGCAAAAGCAATGGCCTATGTTGTAAAACAAGGTTCTTAGGCTTGTATAACTTTCAATTTGGAGAAGCACTAAAAATCAGTTTTATTTCATTGATCTCTGATATAAATATGTCACTTAGCTTTTGTGGACAGTTATGTGAAAAGTTGCTTCAGGAGTGCTCTGGAACTCTGAGTGGGTAAAGCAATATTTATTTGAATGGAATCCAAAATGACCCACACAATTAAGATATGTCATATAGTCAGTATATTAGCTTTCTGTTAGTGTAATGAGTAATTGAGATAACCAATTTCTTTTGGCTCACAGTTTTAAAGCTGTTAGTTCCAGTTAGTTGACCCTGTTGTTTTGAAGTCTGTGGGAAAGTAGTAAACCCTAGCAGGCAATGTATAGAAAGGAAGTGGCTTGCTTCATGGCAGCCAGTAACCAGAGAGAGAGAGAGAGAGAGAGAGAGAGAGAGAGAGAGAGAGAGAGGAAGAAGGGGGGCCTGCTACCAATTACCCTTTTAAGAGCATACCCAATATGAATTAGCTTCTTTCCACTGGGTCCTACACACTTCCTAAGGATTCCACCACCTCACAAAAGTCCAGAGTCTCTCCATCAACTCAAGGCACACTCATGATTATGAGCTCCTGAAATTGTAAACACAGCAGCATTCAAATTCCCATTCCCAAATAGGAAGCATGGGAATAGTAACATAACCAAATCCTAGCGAGGCCAGCAACAAACCATGCAACTTCGTGGCATCTGAGCTCCTACAGGCTTGGCAGCCCTGCCCTGTATGGTCCCCTTTTTCCTCTCAGTCCATTGGCCACCAGTCTATGGGGACCAAGGAGCAGAAGCAACAACAGAGGGCCTTGAACAGCCCGTGAACAGAACAGAAATAGCCTTCCAGGAGCCTGCTTCAGTGAGACAGCTCAGTTTTGTTTCGGAGTATAGGGGGTATATAGGATTCAAGATGGTAGCTGGGAAATCACCTTATTTTCATTAAACAGCATGCTCCTAACATAAGGCTCCTAGTACAAGTCTTAGTTATCATCTGTGTAAGAGCAGTCCTATCATAAAGCTCCTAGCACAATGTCTAATTACCATATGGGCAGTAGGGGGAAAGCTTCTGCAGGGAACTGTGTCAAGGGTTATACTAGAGATAAGTCAAGCATCATAACCTAGACAGTCTCCAAATAAGGTCAGGTAGAAAACAGGGCACCTTCTTCCAGGAAGGGAGTGGGGGGAGTCCTCCATGTTGCTGAGCTCAGAGAGAGTTGCCAGGCCATGGTAGACTGCAATCTCTGACCAGGAGGGCCTCCCAGCACTGCCCCTATACCCATGACCTTTGCAGTACATATGACTTCTAGGGCCAGTTGTCTGTCATAAATCTTAGGTTTTATTGCAACTTATACCTCACCCTCAGTGCTTCATACAAAGGCCTCTCAGGACTTCCTTTCAGAGAATCCAACATATCTACACATTACTTCACCTTGTCTGTTTTTTGATTGTTTGCTTTGCTTTGCTTTTTTGTTTCTAGAAACTTGGTGAAAGATTTGATCACCAATGACTCATATTCTTCATGCCTACAAAACAAGCACCATATGGATGCTACCAAGTCCTACTGCCAGCTTAGCAAGTATCCCAGCCCCCTTGGAATATGACTAGAGCAGCCTCCATGGCTGGCCCTCCTTGGGCTGCTGTTTCTCAGTAGACTTCCAGATGATACTCTTCTCCATGCAAGTCCTTCATTTTTACATCATGGGGCCTTCAATGGATGGGATCTTGCTCACAAGTGTATGGTTTCCTCTTTACTGTACTAATCTTTTTAACAGATGTCATTTTTCCTATAACGCTTGCCTTGTTCGCAGCTTGGAATGTGTTCCCATTCTTTTCCTTGCCACATTTCAGAGTTTTCAGATCTGTTCTGCTCTTTCTTGCTATAAATCTGGCTAACTACAGCAAGCAAAAACCATTTCCCAGACTACAGGTTATACTGTCTTGATATTTCCTCCACCAAATAAATTAATTCCTTACTTCTGAATTCAGCTTTTCAAACTTTTATGACAGAGGCATACTGTAGACTTTGATAGATTGTAACATTGAGTGGCACCTCCTTTTTCTCGTGAAACCTCACAAGCTGCTCTTTACTATCTGCATTTCTATCATCATTCTGGTCTTCCAGACTTCTGGTGGAATGGCCAGTAATCTCTAAGTATAGCATTCAAGGACCTGTCACACCTTCCGTTCCAAATTCTTCAGCATTCCTCCCATAAACCAGTTCCAAAGGCCTACAAACTGCATAGTAGAAATACCCTTAAAAAGAACCTACTTCCTGATGCCTGATCCTCTATCAGTTTCAGAGTTTCTTATATTGAGATCCTTGGTCCATTTGGAGTTGATGTTTGTGCAGAGTGAAAGATAACGTGTAGTTATATACTTCTGTGTGTAGATACCGCAGTTTTCCTAGAATCTTTTGCTGAAGATTTCATTTTTCTCTTCAGTGTGTATTTTATCTGGAACCTTTACTTTAGTCCATTGATTCACATATCTGGTTTGATGCTAGTATCATACTATTTTATTGCTATGGACTCTAGTGTAACTTGAGATCAGGTAGTATTCTTTTTACTTAGGATTGCTTTGGCCATCTGGGGTCTTTAGCACTTACATATGAATTTTAAGATATTTTTTCTATTTTGTGAAGAATGTTATATGAACTTTCATAGGCATCAAACTGAATCTATAGGCCACTTTTGATAGGATGACCATTTTCATAATAGAAATTCTTTAGATCTGTGAACATAGCATATCTTTCCTTCTTTTAGTGTCTTCTTCAACTTCTTTTTTCAGTGTTTCAAAGTTTTTGTTGTAGAGGTCTTTCAGTTCATCAGTTAAATTTACCCCAAGGTATTTTCTTTAGACTACTGTCAATGGGATTATTTCCCTGATTTTTATTTTATTTTATTTTATTTTATTTTTTTGGTTTTTTGAGGCAGGTTTTCTCTGTGGCTTTGGAGACTGTCCTGGAACTAGCTCTTGTAGACCAGGTTGGTCTCAAACTCATAGAGGTGCTCCTGCCTCTGCCTCCTGAGTGCTGGGATTAAAGGTGTGCGCCACCAACACCCAACTCCCTGATTTCTTTTATCAGTATGTCTGCCACTGGTTTACAGAAGGTCACCTATGTGCATGTGTGTGTGTGTTAATTTTGCATCTTGCCACATTGCTGAAAGTAATTTTCAGCTGTATGAGTTATGTAAATGTAAGGTAATAGAAGGTGAGTTTAAATATATCAAACTGTGAAGTTATTTCTGTTGCTGTTTAAATTCTTGAAAAAAAGTCTGTAATTGATCAAGTCCACACTAGTCTGATTAAAACCATAGATCAAGTCTATTTTTGGTCTTTCTGGTTCTCCCAGTAACAAGATGACCACTGTAGGAAATGGGAAAGTAAAAAGAAAGTTCACTACTGTGTTGGATTTCTGTGGGATCTCCTCAAGGCTCCTACTTCTGAGTTTGTTCACTTAGTGACAGGCTGGCCTAGGCTTTCTTCCCAGGACTCTCCTGGGAGTTTGTGAAAAGAAACATTGTATGAGTTTCCACAGTAAAGTTCATTATACGTTAATGAACTGTTTCCTTGAGGGCATTTTTCTATGAACAACAAGTTCACTAATCTCTCTGCTAGTGCACATAACAGGAACACATCTATCTATGAGCAGTAATATGCAAAAGTGAATGATCTCCTATAAAATACTAGTATCAGCAGGAAATATCCACAGCAGGCGTCCCTCTAGCTGCACATGTATGCATAGGTCCCATTGGGCAGATCTGATACCTTTGTCCCCATAATCCTTCTGGCCGTGACAGCAACTGGGAAATGTGGTTTTCTTATATCGCTGTATCTCCAACCCGCAATAATCCAGCAAGTACAGATCATACTGTCCATTTTAAGGACAGAAAAATATTTTGGGTTAGGTCAAGTGACTTGCCCAATACTGCATATTTGTTAACCATCCAAGCGTCTCTTGAGTCCAAAACCCAATTAACCACATATATCTTCCTCAAAGAATTTAACACAGGTCAAAGGAGGTTACCAGCACAAGATAAAAGTTGCTGAAAACCAGTGAAGAAGAACTCTTAGCAAAGAATATTCCACTGAAATTTGATGCACTATCAAATACTACTTATAAAGATTGGAGCCGGGTGCACGCCTTTAATCCCAGCACTCAGGAGGCAGAGGCAGGTGGATCTCTGTGAATTTGTGACCAGCCTGATCTACAAGAGCTAGTGCCAGGGCAGCCTCCAAAGCCACAGAGAAACCCAGTCTCGAAAAAACAAACAAACAAACAAAAGGATTGGAGACAGTGGTCTCTGTCTTCAGATTACTACATGTGGAGTTATTTTGAGTCATAAGAAACCTCTAGGTATATAATAATATTAAAAATACTATGTTCACATGTTTTTTTCAACATAAAAAGAAAGCTTTATAGAATTAGGAACAAGACTTTTCACAGGAGAAAAAGCAACAGATTGTCTGAGGGTAACCAGACACTGGAATAGACAGCTGAAATCCGATGGAGTTCTGCACCAGAACACGGGAGACTTTCAAAATTCAGATCCTTCCAAATCAACATTTTATTTATACTCACTAGTTCTGTTCTCATGGCAAAACAAGATTTACTATATCTTGTGTTACATACATTATTTCAAAGAATTATATCTAAAGTAAACCTATCAGATCTCAGCAAAACAAACCCAGCTTACATGAAAATGCTGCCTGTGCCATTTATACTGAGAGATCTGATGAGGGGGAGATAACCCTCTCTCTAATACTAGCAACAAATTTGCCTGAATGCCCCAGATTTTGTGAATCCTTGCCCTTGAGATGTTACACAGAGAGATGGCAGGTAAGTAGATACTCTATAGCCAACTCATGTGTTTCTGTTCAGCAAGCACACTGACTCGGTACAAGTATTAAATCTCCAGTCTATGTATGCCATTTCCAGCCATGCTAAGGGAACATGTTATTCAAATATCAATACTGGAGAGAGATCTTGGCTATCTGTGAAATAAAGAAAAACAAGATACCATTCTTCTAATATAAAATATTTTTATAACAGCATTCACGATAAAGCTCACAATTATTAGTTATACTTAAATCTTCAAGGGTACAATTCTATGGCACTTAAATAATTAAGTCAGAATAAACTTTGTTACAGTTCATGTCATAGCACATGACAGGAACTGGGTGGAGAACCTAGGACTTTATAGCAGTTCTCAGATTTACCCAAAACACTTCCTGCTGGCCTTCATCCAAGGGCCATTCCAGGTAGGTCTTGGTGTTCATTATCTTGCGAAGCTTGCAGAAGCGCTGGGGGATGGCTTTCTTCTCAATGGGCTCCAGCAAAACCAGGATGCCGGCGTCGTTGTTCTCATCAAAGAGCCTGAAGTGGGAGAAGTCCAGCTCATACTTGCACCACTCGCTCCGCACAAAGTTCTCAGAAAGCACAAACAGGGTTTTGTGGCTCTTCTCAATAGAGTCGATGATGTTGTCAATGATCCACTTGCCAGGAACAAAGTCCCGCTTGTGGAGACATAGCTTGAAGGGAGGTTCCGAATTCTCCAACTGCTGGACCATGAGGTTCTCCACCCAGTAGGAATCCTGCTCGCTGTAGGAAACAAAGGCATCATAGCAAATGTCCCTGCAAGGAGCTTTCTTGGGCTTCCTCTTGGCCTGCAGCCACGCCCACATCATCCGCAGGTACCATAGCCCATGGAAATGGTGGCACAGGCCACCTATGAGCAGGATCAACAGTACAAGGGCACAGCAGACACCAGACACTAGTAGAGTCTGGTGGCACTCCAAGACTGAGGGCCGGGCATCCTGGACCCTCTGGCCACGCAGGCGGGAGGGAGAGTCACACAGGTAACTGTCTGGCCAGCCGGCCAGGACCTGGACCAGTGCTGGGTGCTCCAAGGTGAAGGACAAGAGTTCACAGGAGCAGATGAAGTGGTTGCCACCTGCTTCCAGACTCACCAGTTTGGGAAAAGAACTAAGTTGGTCTTTAGAGAAAGTACTTATGGCATTCTCTCTGATCTTCATGACCAGTAACACAGGGAACAAGGAGGCATCGGGAGAGTGTGGAGCTTGTTCCTGGAAATATAGAGCTCTCGGAGCAGAGGCAAAAACAAAGAAAACGAAATGAGATTGTTGTTACTAACATCCAACACCTCCAGAGTCTGAGGGATGCACATTTTTACTGCCTGTATCCCTGTACTGGACAAGTTCAGGAAACGCATCTTTCCTGGCCACTGGCAAGAGTCAGGCATAGACTGAAAGCTGTTCCGGCTGATATCAAGGGCAGTCAGGTTTTTCAGAGTCAGTAAAATCTTTCCAGTTCTTTCTATTGATTTCAAACGGTTCTGCCTCAAAATTAAAGTTTGCAGGGAAGGCCAGCTGCCCTCACAGGCTGCGTTCTTCAAATATTCTTCAACCATCAAATTTTCGCTGAGGTCCAAGAATTCCAATGATTTTAAATGCTGTGAGAACAGACAAGGGACCAGAAAAACCTTGCTGTTCTCGACTGTGATTCTCTTAACTTTCTCCAGGAGGGTATATACAGTACTCAGATCATAAAATGAGTAGAATCTGGGGATGTGCAGCCTCCGTATTATTAGCGTTTCTACTTTGCCTAGCTCTCTCACTACGTCTGACTCTGAGGGCTGAAAATCGCCCACTCCATTGAGGGTGCAGTCATCAAATTCTACCTCCAACAGTTCTGGAGTGTAACGCAACAGCTTCAGAAGTTCATTAAAACTTTCGTCAGTGAGATCTGCATTTTGGAATGCCAGCTTTTTCATCGGTGAATTCATTTCATCCGTGGACAGTTCTGAAAAGTAGAAGCTGTCCAAGTTAGCATCTCTCAGTTCTAAATATCCCACAGAACTCAGAGTATCTTCAAAAACCCCCAGCAGGAAATCAGACTGACTTAGGTGAAAGGTTAAGTGATGGATGCTTTGAATGGACTGCAGACTTCCGGGCTCATAATTCTGGAGACTTAGCGCTTTGATTTCAAGTTCATCAAGAGAAGTCAGTCCAGCAAAATCTGTTCTCCTGATCCCACTGAAGGTGGCAACATTTCCTACCCTAAGGGTCTGTAAATGTGTGAGGTTGAGAAACAGTGGTGTTTCCCCCAGTATCCTATAAGGATTTCCCAGCAAGTTTAGGTATTTCAAAGAGGAAAGAGGCCTGAACCAGGAGGAAGATAGGTTGGATAAGTGATTATCAGACAGGTCCAAATATTCAAGCTTGCTCAGGGAAGAAAAGGCATCTTCCTCTATGGTGTTGATCCCACTGGACTGCAATATCAGGGCCCGGAGGTTCACACACCCCCGAAGGTCACCATGGCCAATGGAGGTGATCTTGTTGTTAGACAGGTCAAGGCTCTTCATGGCTGCTGTGAGTCCTGAGGGGATGGAGGTGAAAGACCTAGAGCGGCCATCACACACACCAGCAGCATCACATGACAGAGATGCCTGAGCAGAACATCCCTTCCTGGAGAGATCTGTCATGGCCACCAAGATCCAGAAGGTCCACAGAACATGTAACATCCTCCACGATTTGACCTTCAAAGGAATGAAGCACATGTGACTGGGTGTGCCTGATAGCAGATCATGACTCTCACTCCTGTGTGCATCCCCTGCCCCTTGCAAATGTGCGTGTACAAGCAAGAAGTTAGAGGCAAATGCATTCCATGAATGTGGATTAAAAATTAATTTCCTGATATATACAATAGTACTAGCAGATACTTTTCTGCCAGTGAAGAAACTTAAAACACAACCATTTGAGGGAAAAAAAAAAAAACAGGACTCAGTACAAACGAATACATGGTTGGATAAACAAGCAAATAGATAAAGAAATGAACTGGACTTGGCCCTATGGGTTCTAGGTTTCTTTAAAGCCTCATCAAGCTTGTCTCTTCCTTGATTCATTGCTCCCATAGCTCATGATCCCACAGTATTAAACCATCTCTTTCACTGGGCACATGAGCCAAATAAGGGAATCAGCCTATTCTCTGACCAAAAGAAAAAGTTTCATGCCCACTGAGTCTGCCTTGTTCCTCCTACCAGCAGACAGGAAGATGGCTTGGAGTCCTAGGCAGAGGAGTGAATGGCTTGCTGAGATGAGGGGCAATCAGACTCTCAGAACCTTCTCTTTCTGCAGAGTAAAGTCCAGGAAGCGGTGTCCAAACCCACGTGGGCCAGTTAGATGAATGTGAATGAAATACGGTACTTTGCTTCACTTTCCCAATATGCTCTCGTGGAAGAATTCAACACTTTTCTCCCAGTTCACCTTCTGGGCTCTGTAGCCTGTAGCTGTTCTGTGCATCCACGTGCCATTGTATTATTTGCTCGGTTTAAGTAACACTACAATTTTCCAAAATACTTTTGCACTTATTTATTTGTGTGGAGGTCAGAGAACGATTTGAAAAAACCCGTTCTTTCTTCCTACAATGTGGATTCTGGAAATGGAACTCGGGTCATCGGGCCTGGTGGCAAATGCCATTTTATTGTATATGTATGAGAGTTTTGCCTGAATGTATACTTGTGTACCTTGTGTGTACAATGCCCTAGGAAGCCAAAAGAAGGATTAGATTCCCTATAACCATGTGGATGCTGGGAACTGAACCCAGGTCCTCTGAAAGTGCAGGAAGTGCACTTTACTGCCAATCCATCTCTCCAGCCCGTATAGCTTTCTTTTGATGACTGGTTGTACATTTTCCCTTTTGAGTTTTAGTATCCTTGGGAAATGTATCTTGTATATGACGGAGATCTGGCTGCAATATCTGTCACCCCTGTTGATCGCCAGCGTTGATTTGGCTGATCTGGCTGGCTAGGCTGGTGTCCCCCTTACCCCCCCCCACCTATCCGTGTGCCTCCCTCCGGAAGCTGCACACTAGTTCAAAGAGGACGACCTTCCCCTAATAGAGGAGGACCAGTCTTTGGTCAAGGGTATATGAGTAGCTGCACTCCCCTGCCAGAACCTCCAAGCAAGCTGTCAAGAAATAGATCTCAGGGTCGATAATGGCGCACGCCTTTAATCCCAGTACTTGGGAGGCAGAACCAGGCAGATCTCTGTGAGTTCGAGGTCTTCCTGGTCTATAGAGGGAGTTTCAGGACAGGCTCTAAAGCTAGAAAAACCTTGTCTGGAAAAAAAAAGTATTTCTTGGAATCTGCAGATGACAGGTCCATCAGTAGAGCAAAGTGTTCCACTTTTATTTGATCCCTAGTGTTGAATAAATGGGGCACAGTGGTGCACATTGGGATCCCAGCACTCCTGAGGTGCAGGCAGGAGGAACAGTTCAAAGTCATCCACCATCACAGAGTGAGTTCAAGGCCAACCCATAATGCATCAGACCATCTCAAAAAGATAAACCAGCAGATAATTTCTAGGTTGTAGAATTAAGTCTTTTCTGACACCATTAACCTGATTATTTAAATGAAGTCCCTCTTATTCAATATAATTTATATTTTGAGGTTTCCAATCATAATATTATGCCCTTTCTGTATTTTTCCTTATTTTTATGTGTTCTCTCTTGACATCTTTAAACATGGGGATGATTTCCCATTGGGCATTTGTCCAGTTAAATGTTAATTTACTTATAAATGTAGAGGTGCAAAAAGATTAACTAATAGAGCAAAGTTTCTAACTTTGGAAGTTAGAAACTTCCAAAGCATACTGCCAGCATCTGGCACTTTTGGTTAAAAAAAAAAAAGTATAAGTTTAAGTTGTAAGTATTCTATTCTTGGAACAGCACGGAACTCGGAATATGGTGAAATAAGTCATTTCCTATAGTCATAATGTTCGCTACCTATAGTCATAATGTTCGCTATTTCCCTTCCGGGGAGGGAGGAAGAGGGTCTCTATGTCTAAGCCAAGCTGCCCCACCAACCTTTTGCGTAGGCAAGACCTTCCAATCATCCCAGCAAGTTGACGTTTTATGCCCGAAGTAATTTCTCCTTTTTGAAAACAGAAAAGCCTTTTCCCAGCATCTAAGATGTAAACACAAGATTCTCATTTATGGAACTGAAGAAGCCATAATAAGCAGACACTCAGAAAGAACTCCACACACTCTGTTTGTCCTTTCAGTAAGTTGTTTTCTGACCAGAGACGCAACTCAGATGTTCAGAGATAAAGGAACACAGAGAAGTGAAGGCCCCACACGCAGAAGCAAAAATCCCAGTTAGGAAGGAGTAGTTTGCACCGCCTCGCGCGACATTTTTTCCACTTCTAGGTCTCAGTATAATCTTCACTGCTTGCTAGTCCGAAACAGTGATTGCGGACACACCCCCTACAATTGATGTCTTTACCAACTCTGCACTAGGTTCCCAGCCAGAGGGTTGGGCTGGAGGACAGCCCTTTCCAGCAATGCTCAGACACCACAAGAGTCCCAGGGTTCGGAGGCACTGCAGACGCTCCAGAACCAGGAGCCAGCGACACTAATAGTCACAGCCCGTCACACTGCCGCGGGCTCTGGGCTCGCAGTCGCTGCAGCTCTACCGGGCTCCTCCCCTCTCTGGGTGTCCCTCTTCCCACAGGTACCACACACAGGTAGATATATCTGTCTCCAAAGCTCAAACGCCCGGCTGGGGGCGCAGGTGCATCACGGTGAGAACTGGGTCCCCGCGTTGCGGGGCGCCTCGCCGCCTCTGGTCCTGCCTGCTCTCAAGGGGTGCAGAGAACCTGTAGTGGGAGCGACCGACCTACCTTGGGGACAACCAGCCTCCTCTCGCCCGAGCCCTCTGACTGTCTGGGTCCCGGGCCTCGAGGACCGGGAAGTGAGGGAAGGGGATGTCCCCAGCCTAGGGCATGAACTTCCCGGTCACCAGCACCGCCCCGTGCGGCTGGCACCGCCCACGGGGTCTGTACCGGGAGCTAAGCGTGGCACTAGAACTTGGCAGAAGCAACAGGGCAGAAAACCCAGAACTGAGAGGCCAGTGGCTCCGTGTGGGATTTCCCTGAGTGCCCTAGACTGGGCTACCAAAAAGAACGCTGCGTCCCAGCTGGCATTTTAGCTGAGTTGAGCACCCTGCTGCCAGATATCTGGCAGGAAGGAGATATTTTAAAGAAACGCTTACACTCTCTTTGGTTAATGGACTGTTGCAGCAATGAGGTCCTAAGAAACTGGAATTTCCCCGTTGGGAGAAGTTAAGGGTTGCAACAGCGTGCCAATCACAAGAAGTTTTTGTCAGGTCACCATGGGGAAGAAACCTGGGCAATGATGGCAGAATGACTGAAAAATCAATACTATTTAAATTGTGACTAATTAGAAATAATTTGACCAGGACTGTGACTATGGATACTTCTTGCCATTCCTAAACTTAAACCCATGACAGGATGATAGACTTAGGATGGGGGTTGTCACGTACCTCTTTATTTAGTTGTCTTCTCAATGTGGCTATGCCCAATAGATATTCCTCTGCTGTTAACTCCTAATCACTGAAGTAGCTTATTGGGGCCCAGTAGGAGAGGCTAGCCAGGGCTGCCAAGACCTAGGTTCTAATCCTCACTACTCCAGTCACAAAACCTCTCCTTGCCCTGGAACACACCTTTTGAACTCTCTCTGATTTCTTTCCATTCTCAAAAGCTGCAACACTGTGTACCCTGCCAGCATGTCTCTACCATCCGTTTCCGCTCAACATCTATTAAGAGTCTACTAGACACCTGACCAGCACCGCAGCATTTTGTCCAGGACATGAATGGGTTAGGACAGGACAGATTTCTTTCTTTCCTACAACCTGACTGGACCCTGCCGGTGTGCTAGGGCAAACCCATCCTTCCTCCAAGGAGGCTCTCTCATTCCACCTGCCTCTTTGAAGCTAACTACTTCCCTTTCTGTAGCACATATCTGCATCTCAAAGCCATTCTAAAAACAGCCTAGACTGGTTTGCTTCATGATGGAGATGAGGCTCCATCTTCCTCAGCAAGGAGTAATTATGAAGGGAAAACCTCTTACTTTTAAACAAGTTAATAAACGTTCCATTGTGCCTATGATTCCAGTTGACCCTGGCAACGTGAGATTGAATGCAAAGCAGACATCCTCACTCCCGTTTACCTAAGGAAATGTCCTGTAAATCTAAGCCAGATTTGAAGTTAGAATTTTTCCTTAAACCAAGGGTTCTCTTCTGTCCTCAGTTCCACCTCTCTCATACTTCTTAAGATTCTATAGAGAGTTACACACACCCTCTGTCCCTGATTCTGTGTATCTCTTGTATGTGTGTGTCTCTCTGTGTGTCTCTGTCATCTCTCTCTCCGAAAGTTACATCCTTGAACCTGCTGAAACAATCTGAAAACAAGAAAAAAGCAGATTTCTTCACATACACACATGCCAAGGAGACTCAAAGAAGGGCCAATGTGTTGGTGCTTATAAACCTCTTCATGCTGGGTGTGGTGCACACCTTTAATTCCAGCACTAAAGGAGGCAGAGGCAGGCAGATGTCTGTGAGTTTGAGGCCAGTCTGGTCTACAGAGTGAATTCCAAGACCACACAGAGAAATCCTGTCTCCAATGCCCCCCCTCCCAAATCTCTTCATGGGAGAGAGGATATATTTGAGAGGGATTTGCTTCCGGGGAAGAGAATGCACCCAGAGAAGCGACTACTGGGCTCTTGCATGGTTTGGTTTTCCAATCTCTTTCCCTATGAGTTTAGCCTTTGAAAGAGTCGGTGACAATAATGTTCCTCTTTGGCAGATCCAGATGTTGTATAGATAAGACTCAGAGAAAGCCCCTCCTATATTTGCTGTCACAAAAGCTGTGACTTTGGATTCCAAACTGACTTCTTGTGGAGTGTGGTTTTCTAACCCCTGGCCCTTCAAAATTCAATGAATCAGTAAACAGCAATGCAAACTTGAGAGTGAACTATTTTCTTAGAGTCTGGTTCTATGGGTTTACCATGTGGATAAGCAGCCTGGGACTGCAGTGGCTGCCTTCCCTCCCCTGGCTCTCTTAGACATTTGAACTTCCTAGGTTAACTTAGTTTACTGCTTTGTAATCCTAAAAGCAAAGCTGAGTAACAGTCATTGATTTCTGCCTGGTGTGGTGGCTTACACCTATAATCCCATGATTTGGGAGGTCAAGGAAGAAGAGGTGCAGGGAGTATTAGGCCAGTATGGGCTATATGAGCTGCTGTCTCAAAACAAACAAACAAAGCCATTCATTTATCCACAAATTCCTACCAGCAACATTTATGTACAGAGTAGCGGATCCTCCAGTGATGGTGAGCCTTGACTATTAACTGCACTGATAGGTGCCAATCACCAACAAAATATACCTCAGGTATAGCTCTAAGCCTGCTCCAAAGAGGATTGACATGTGAGAGAAATAGCTATTGGGTATAGCCACATCGGGAAGACAATTAAATAAAGAGATGCATGACACCCCATCCTAAATCCATCATCCTGTCACAGGTTTAAGTTTAGGTCTGACAAGAAGTACCTATAAGTAGACAGTCTTGGTCAAGGTGTGGTATCCCCAGTCATTTAACCATCGTTGTCCAGGCTTCTAGTCTCTCCCCTATGGTGAGCTGACAAAAACTTCCTGTGATTGGCAGGTAGAACTTTTAACAATTTCTTGGGGCCCCGTTGTTGCAATAATCCATTAACCAAAGAGAGAGTGTAAGCGTTTCTTTAAAATATCTCCTTCCTGCTAGAATTCTTGCAGTAGGGTGCTCACTTCAGCTAAAATGCCAGCTGCAATGCACCATAAACTTCCTTACCCAGAACTCTCCTGGACTTCCTCTTGGCCTAGAGACACCCCACATCAGTCTCTGGTCCCAATCTGTAGAAATGGTGACATAGCTCCACCCCACCCTTAGTCCTTAGCTAGCTCCTTAGAGAAAGTTTATTTTTCAAAGCCTCTGGCAGAATCTTAAGTGTGCATCTAAAAATGTATCCTTCGAGTTGTGGCTGAATGAAAGATTACGCTGTGGCATCTGCAAAATACTGAGTTAAATTTGGCTGGATGGTGTTCCACTTTACATTAATCACCTTTCCCATTGCTATGGCAAACAGGACTTAATGAAGGGAAGGTTTCCTTTGGCTCACATTTGAGACTGTAGTCTCTAAGGTGAGGAAGGTATGGCAGCAGGAGTCTGACGGTGCTGGTCACACTGTGTCCATAGGAAGGAGCAGAGAGGTGAATGCTGGAGCTCCACTCACTTCTCTACTGCTATATGGGGGGGGGGCGGCAGTCTCCAGAAGCACAGGGCTTCAACAAGAGTCCGTGAGTCAGTAAAGCTAAACTTTTCTGTCTGAGAGGGGGTTAGGGAAAAAGGTACTCACAAACTCTCTTAATGAGTTCCTTCTTTATTCTCTCTCTCTCTCTCTCTCTCTCTCTCTCTCTCTCTCTCTCTCTCTCATGTTTTTTTCATAGCTTTTATACCCCAACAGAATCTTCCAGGAAGTACAAGAGTCAAAACAGTTGCATTCCATTTCTCAAGTGAATGATTATAGGTAAAAACATGTTTTTCATCTCTCTTACATGATTAATCATTATACGAATTACAAATGAAAACCCACATACATTCATACCCAAGCAACTTGTTATAGATTAACTGTGTGGGCAAGCAAGGTATTCTTGTCAGGTCTTTTCCTGGCAGGCTGAATTTTGCAGTAACAAACAAAGGGCCAATTACTTTATTACTTAACTTGAAAGGTAGTCTTAACAAGGAATCTTAAAGGAATCACAAACCTAAACTTTCATATATGAAAGCTCTAATATATATATATATATAGATAGATAGATAGATAGATAGATAGAGAGAGAGAGAGAGAGAGAGAGAGAGAAATTGAGGGCAGAAATGGATATAAGGAATTAGTCATCACCTTTAGTCATCAACCAAACCCAGCAAGGAGAGTTCATCAGCCTATAATGATCAGGCTGCTTTGTTCTTGTTCCCTGACCTTAAAGAGTTTCACATTCGACTACGTGCCTTTCTAAAACTAGATTGTCTTCTTGGCCTTTTCACCTCAAAGTCATTTAACATAAACACATTAGTCTAACTTTGCTATTTTCAAAGTTTTGTTTCAGCTGTGATGCACTCCGAGACTTTCGAACACATCCCCTGACATTAAGGCTAAAAGAATTTAAACTAGCTGGGCTACTGGGACTCAATTGTTAATCCTTAACTTGAGCTACAATCCATGCAGCTCCTTAGGTAAAACTCACACACTCTGGCTGAGAAACATCCATGTATTTATTTATTTATTTATTTATTTATTTATTTATGGTTTTTTAAAAAGATTTTATTTATTTATTATGTGTACAACATTCTGCTTCCATGTATATCTGCACACCAGAAGAGGGCACCAGATCTCATAACAGATGGTTGTGAGCCACCATGTGGCTGCTGGGAATTGAACTCAGGACCTCTAGAAGAGCAGTCAGTGCTCTTAACTTCTGAGCCATCTCTCCAGCCCCTATTTTTTCAAGACAGGGTTTCTCTGTATTGCTTTGGAGCCTGTCCTGGAACTCACTCTAGACCAGGCTGGCCTTGAACTCACAGAGATCTGCCTGCCTCTGCCTCCCAAGTGCTGGGATTAAAGGTGTGAACATCACCACCGGGCCCTTATATTTATTTTTATTCATCAAAACTCAGCATAAATTATCATTATTATCAAAATAGACAGTAAAGTTTAGGGAGGTGTCATCTTTTTGATAATCCATAGGTAAAAATGCCCAGTAGAATGGGATGTTTCCCAGAGATAAACACACTACATTGCAGGCCATGGGGATCTCTTCACGTCCACTCACATCATGCTAGAAACCAGAGAAAGAGCTGGAGCAAAATCATTTCAGAGTCTGCAGTCCTGTGGCCTTGCTGAAACGAGATTGGTCTATCAGAGGATTTCCTTCTGGTGGGCTGACACCTGGGGAACTTCAATTGCAACTTGAGGCTCTCCTGGCATGGCCCAACCGGAGAAACACTGGAACATTTGAAGGTGAACATTCTGTCACTTTTCTAGTCACAGCCCAGTTACAGGTATTATAGGCATTGGTTTATCAACGTTCCCAATCAAGTACAGGTTCACAGGTCCTCGAAGGGTGTGCAAACACTCATGCAGTGTGATGTGAACGTCTGCTTAGCATACACCCCACCCCCAAAAGGCAAAAGACGGAGATTTTCAAAACATTTGTTTTCTTTCCAAGTACACTCATATGTTTTCTTCTCAGCTGAATGGTATGTCTCTTTGGGGGAACAGAGAGGCACCCCCATTAACAGACACACAAATGTTGTCTCAGCTGTAGTATGCCTGCAAGTGGCCCTTTAAGTTGTAAAAACCAAGGGGAATCTCTTCTGAGGAGACAAATGCTCCCTCTGGCTGGCACCAGGATTTTAGCCTTGCCTTCCCCACAGTATGGGATTCCTGGGGAATTTTAATTATTTGGGGGTCTGCTGTTTCTATAGTCTGATCACTGTTGGGGGAGGTGGACAGTTGATCACCTGAACAGGTGAATGGACAGTCTAGTCTGATCACTGATGGGGAGGTGTGGACAATCTGATCACTGTGGGGTGAGGAGTGGGCAGGCTGATCACTGGGAAGGGGGTTGACAGTCTGATCACTGGGAGGGGCCAGTGGACAGCTGATCACTGGGAGGGGGAGTGGTCAGTCTGATCATTACAGAGGGAGGGTGGACACAAGTGTATTTCTATAGAGTGCCCTGTCTCCTACAAGTGTGGTTATAGTCCCCAATTCTTTACTTTTATTTAGACTCACCCTTGAGGGATTTGAGGGTGGTCTTCTAGACTTGGTGTGAAATTCCTGAAATATGCTCATGCCTGAAACAAATACAATAAAAATGCTGGTGAGAGAATCAGTGCCAGACAAGACTCGGTATCACACACAAGAACCCGTACTTGCTGTTGGGAAGTGACTCCCTTTGTCGCTGGCTTAAAGACAGAGCTTCACCAAAAGGCCCAGGCTGGCCTCAAACTCACAGTCTGCTACTTTAGCCTCCCAAGTACTAGGATTACAGGTGCGTGTCACCATGCCCAGAGTGACTTTATTTCTGTTCTGACTTTTCCCTTTGCCCCTGAACAGTTTGCTCTGAAGACATTGCTAAGTAACCACTGCTACGAAGTAATTGGTGGCGCATGCCATTAATCCCAACATTCGGGAGGCAGAGGAAGGCGGATCTCTGAGAGTTTGAGGCCAGCCTGGTCTCCAGAGCAAGTGCCAGGATAGGCTCCAAAGCTACACAGAGAAACCCTGTCTCAAAAAAACCAAAAAAAAAAAAAAAAAAGAAAGAAAGAAAGAAAGAAAGAAAGAAAGAAAGAAAGAAAGAAAGAAAGAAAGAAATTGTGTAATTGTTGTCTGTTTGGTCTTGACTGTCGCTCATGAAAGGAATGAAATCTGTTCCAATTTATCTTATCTATCCCCCATGTTAATAGTAAGTAGACAGATTTAAGGAACCAAGACCAAGGGTCTTCCCGCTTTTCCATCAAATTCAAGGAACAGGAGTGGCTCTTGGGCCACAGCCACCTGCCACCTATTTCCACTTTTAGTTCTGTCTGTCCTGCTGTGGGTGATGTTCAAACATCTCAAAAAAAAGAAAAAAAAATGATTGTGCAGCTTCTTTACTTAGATGCTGCATTTCTGTCAACAATGAAGAGTGACAAAACCTTACAAAGAAAAACAATCTAGAGACCAAGACCAGTGGATATTTAAAGGAAGCTAGTCTGTAAAGCAGGTGCTTACTTAGAGTGACTTTTCAAGAGTTTCATAGTACACTCTTTCGAAAAGGACCAAAACTGTGGATAAAAAAAGGCTTAGCACAGCCAAGTTTAGGATTTTGCAGAAATCTTAGCAATTAGCAAGACAGTCTAGTTACCTTTGCTTCAAACTGATAGTCATGATACAATTAGGGAACTGTGAACACAAGCCTGGAAAAGATTAGCATTGCTAACAGTTCTAGTTTGAAGTCCCCAGCCTGGTAATATGTTCTGATTTTTATATTCTTGGAGGCTTATATATTTGAGAAACATAAAGTATATTAATATACAAAGGACCCAGTTAGCAAGCAGTTAGCACACAGCTATAAAGAATTCATATATTTACATATATATGCATATATATATATTAATAAAGAGTACACACACACACACACACACACACCCCTGGTACTCTAAGCCTGACCAAAAGCCCATGACTGGGGAGGATACAGCACTTAGTAGGAAAGCTATGCCTGTTGTATTACTGAATAGACACGATGTCCCTACCAAATTGCTTTCCAACAGTTACATTTCTGCCCACAGGTGAGTGGTGCTGTGGAACTGGCTCAGAGAAGCTGTTCTCTCCAGTTGGCAGTGGTCACTGCAAGGCCTCCTGACTGGCCAAAATGCTGATAAGGAGACATCTCTGTCACCCCTCCAAGGCTCAGAGAACATTGTGGGAATGGGGTGGACAGAATGTAAGAGCAGAGGAATGGGTGGAGGGTTGAGGAACAGATGGGGCCTGGCCATTACACTTTTGAACTCTTGGTAGCTGTGATTACCTACATGAGACCTATAGAGGGTCAGACCCTTAAGCATTCCTTCGTGGAAGGAGGCAGAGCCCACAAGGAGTTCCCACATGTAGTCCCTGGGAGTCCGTATGGTTTATGGGAGTAAAATAATGCTGGAGTATGTACTTCCCTGAAGACCTGTAGGCAGTTCATGTTTGGGAGCAGAGGACATTTTCTTCAGTGGCATAGCTGCTGAAAAGTTGCCCACCTGTCTGTCAATAACCTCTGGCCCATGCTGCCATAAGAAGGTCAAACTGAGTTCGTTGGGGAGCAACAATGACCACAACATCAAAGACAGGAAAGCAGAGAGAGCCTAGCTGGGAAGAGGGAGAGGTCAATGGGGTCAGAAGGGGACAATGAATATGATCAAATACATTATATACATTTGAAAATGCCACAATGAAACCCATTATTACATAAAATTAACGTGTTCATATAAAGTATTTAAAAACTCAATTCCTTTCGCATAAAGTTAGAATCTAAGAAAATAAGCAGAAAATGAGCAAATATTTGAATGAAATACAAAATCATTTAATGTTAGACCTTTTCAAATTTTATTAAAAGTAGGTTGATATTTAAGAACATCTAATTGCAGCCAGGCAGTAATGGTGCACACCTTTAACCCCAGCATTAGGGAGGCAGAGGCAGGTAGATCTATGTGAGTTCAAGGCCAGCCTGGTCTACAGGGTGAGTTCCAGGACGCACATTGAAGGCTATACAGAGAAATCCTGTCTTGAAAAACCAAAACCAAAACCAACCAAACAAACAAATCTAATTCTTTGAAAGCAAAGCATAAAACACTTACATAATATTTTGGTTATTAGCAGCATAATCATACATAAACCTTAGAAGCACTATAGGATTTATTTTACAAATCCCATATAAATTTGTATTTATTTTTCTGATAAATTAGAAAAGTCAATTATAACCATGAACAGTATATATCTATTTGTATCCCTGAACCAGCCACACATTTGCTCTTCTGTTATTTTCAGAAGTTCCATCAAACTTTGTCCCATGCTGTTTTAAACACAAAATGACACATAAAAACCAGTAACATTAATTCAGAGTGAACTCTTAGTCAACAGGAGGTAGGAAGCTCACATCTCAGAACTTCCTTAAGTGAAAGCAAATCAAAGACAGGGTTTGACAGGAACACTTAGGGTAACACCTTTTCTTATTTCAGTCCTTGGCAAAACAGTAAGTTTGAGATCCATTTAATGGCTATTTCCCTCAAGAAGCCAGTATGTAGAGTAACTAAACTGTATCATGATAGTACAACATTTTCTTCTTTTTCAATGGTTCTAACCACAGTCAGACCACAGTTTCCAGAACACTTTCCAAGACGCTGTCACCAGGAATGGTCACTACCCTGAGTCAGACCACTGAAATAAGCCAGACAGAACTGAACAGACAGGATCCTATAGACTAAACAGGCTTTATCGCTGGAAGGAGGTGGCAGGGAAAGTCCCCCAGATGGGGGAAGAAATCACCGAAATCACTTTCAGGACAGAGGCTAGATGAGCTAAAACCCAGGAGCAAACCCAGAAGGGGCATTGATTGAATTGGCTAAGTGAAAGCATGAGAGAATGTTAGGAGCCCCGCAAGGGAGAGTGAAATTAAAGGGGGCAGGACAGCTCAGCATCCTAGAACTACTCATTAACTCAGTGACTGACTGCAGAGTTCTTAAGCCATTCTAATGGAGTCACCAAAATGCATGACCAGACTCCAGAGCTCATGCTGCCTGCCATTGCAAACACCATTGAGCAGAGACACGGATATGTAAGTTATGCTTTGTTCGGAGAGCCAGCAGAAGGCAGCAGGTTAACACTTCAGGAAACAAACACCTTCTATCCCACCTCCAGCCAGCATGCTTTACAGGGAAGAGAAAGGTATCCAATTAAAGTTCATCTTGCCCCTCTACTGGGGTGGTCAGCCATGTCCATGAGACTTATGATGTCAGTGTCATGATCCTGACTACCCCCTGAACTTACCTACCTCTGGACATTGGGGCTAAGGCATTCCTTTGGAATGTTGTGTCTAGTTAGGATCTGCCAGTGTCCACCATGCACTCCCCCAATAGGCACTGAGTTAGATCAAGCAAGTCATTTATAGTGTATTCATGATAAGCTATTAATAACATGTACATGCAGACTCCTTTCAACAATATGGATACAAATGTACCCCAATAGTATGGTATACACCTCCTAGTTTCTGCCAGTCTTCTCTTCTTCCTCAACCCACATGCTAACTCCTTTCTTCTCAGACAAGCCCTTGGTGTCGGGGGATGGCTCTGCAGATTCCTTGGTTTCTGAGTCACTCAGTATTAGATGGAGAGTCATACCTGCCCCCCAACACCTCTAATTGGACTATAAGATGAATCATGTCCCCCTCTCAGAAAGGGAGAAAGCCCAGCTTGGGTGCAGCCATGAGCTATTCTGAGCAAGAATGCTGACTGCCCGTAGTGTGGTGGGTGAGTTGCCCAGTGGAGGTCAGACAGTGCACAGTCATTCCTATTGCCACATCAGCTTGTCACTTCAAAATCTGACCATTCCAGAGCCCCCACTCTCTTCCTCATGTCCCTGGAAGGCCCCTGCTGCCTACTTTCTTTGAGTTGCCCAAGCACTTCATTGTGTTGCTTCGGACATCCCTACCTTCTCCACAGTGCCATCTCCAGCTTACCCCATGCCCCTCCAGGCACAGGCAGGCTCTACCTTCTGGCACCCTCTCTAGAAACGTTTCCTTTGCATCTCAGAAAAGCTTAAAGCCATTCAAAGAAATCATTTCAATTCTTACTTAAGAGCTGCCCATATCCATCCTTTCTTTCCTGTCTCAGGAAAAGGCAGGGCCTCTACTAAGAGCAGCAGCACCCCTTATCCTGACCTGGGTGCTGTCTGCATTCTCTGCTCATTACCCATATGCACCTGCTCTCTGCACCAGCCTCATATATTTCCTACCACTCTGTCTCAGCCACGTCATTATTACAATGTATGCCTTAAGCCCCTCCCTACACACACATACATACCACATCCATCGTCTCCACCCATTCTCCCCACCATCATCAGCATCAATTCCACCATCCCCACACTTCTATGTGCCTAATTATTATCACCAATGCTTTTACCACCATAATTTCTATCAACTATTGCCACTATTGCCAACAGCTCCACTACTGTCTACTCCACAATCATTACCATCTCCTCCAGTATCACCAACCCCATTACCTACACTGCCCTCTCTCCGCCATCACCATCCCTACATTACCTAGAGTATTAACTCTATCCTCACCAGCAACTCTCTATCATCACCACCACCACTGACACTACCTTCACCAGCTCTATTTGCCATAGACAGCTCTGGATCCTCCTTTAAGTCTTCACTTTCCTTACTCTTCAACTTACACGTGTGGTTTTCTCCTCTGTGACTAGCCTGATGTTAATGCAACTATGCACTGTGCTCCAAACAGCAGTATCTATCTCTTCAAGCTAACTCTAGTAACTGTGAATAACAACTGCCCAGAAAGTACATCAGGGGATGTATATACAGATATATAACACACACAGAGAGAGATATATATGTTATGAAAGTCAAAGCAAGTAGAAAAATAACAGTAAATGACATCGCACATAACATGAGGGAGTTTCATAAATAGATCCAAAATGGGGATAGAGTAAATTCCACTGACACCCTATCTCGAGCTAAAATCTATTTTTCCTTTTTGTGTCCGTGCTATTCTTCAACAAATTTTGTAAGAGACATGTTATCTTCTTTTTAGCCAAGGATGCTCAGAGAATTTAGGAACTTGTCTGGTTTGGCTCTTCCATCTCATCACAAAGTCCACACACTGCGTTTCACTGACTTCTCCCCAGACCAATGTCCCAGCCTTTATAACCTACTCAGTGAGTGGAACGCATCATATCCACACACTCAGGTAGTTCAAGAGGTGGAGATTTTTATAGTGTATGGGTATCTTCCCGTTTTGCTATGAGTTCTGTTTACAGGAATGTTGCACAATACATTTTTCACAATTCAACTTCAATTGCCACATATGAACACTTTAAGACATAAGCACTGCCTGAAACAATGCCATTTATTATTTTAGGTCTAAGATGGAAGTCAATGAAAATTAAATAATGACTCAAGTATGCGATTCCACTCCAATAATGTGTGGGTTTCCTCCCTGTTTAAATCAATTTATTGCATATAATGTGCTCGACAAAAATGCTGGATATATAGAAGGAGCTCAATAATGGTATAAGTCCTCATCATCCTTGGCCTGCAGGTTGTAAGTCTTCACAGCAGATGTAAAATGCAAGCCCTTTACACTGGCTCTAAATGACTTACAGCTGATCACTGCTCTAAATCATCTTCTGGACTGACTCCGGGCAGCTTTCGGTAGTAGCCTGTAATGTGAAAAATAAAGGTCCCAGAGACTGATATTGGGGTTCAAGTTTCAAGCTGAAGACCAGAAAAGCAAAGCAGCTGGCCACTAGCTCTCACTCTACCTCAGACTGAAAGGCTATCCTGGCTCCACCAAACCTCAGACTGTTGCCTCTTCTCAGTGTGTTTGGAGAATCCTGAGACTTCAAAGTCTTCCTATCCTCAATGTGGCTGGAGAATGAATGCCAGCTCTGAGACCCTGTTCCTGTCTTAAATACCTCTCATGAGTCCTGGGCATGTGATCCAAAGTGCTGAGATCATCTTTGTGTGAGCTGTTTCTCTTTAGGACTGGATCAATTTTGTGTAGCTCAGTGTGGCCTTGAACTATCAGAGATCCATCTACCTCTTAATCCTGAGTCCTGGGATTAAAGATGTGTGCCTGGCTTCTATGGCTTGTGGCTGACTTTGCTTTCTGAACTTCAGGCAAGCTTTAATAAATCATAAATAATATATCACCAGAGTAGCCCATGTGCCTCTAATCCAGAGTGTGTCAGCTGACAGCTGAGTACCAGAGCAGTATCCCCCTATAATCCAGTCTCCACAGCATTGTGGGGGAGATGTAGTGTGACACATAGGGTAAGTGCTTCTTGTCAGGCAGACTTGAGTTTAGATCTTGATGGTTCCACCTACTGGCTGTGTGACTGGGTAGATAACAAGACTCCACTTTCACATCTGGGAAGTGGAAACCATCCTTGTGCACAACACGAGCAAATCCTCAAGGTTAGACAGTGTTTTCAAGAAAGGCTATATGATTCAAATTAGCTTCATCTCTAGTTGGCAGTTCATCCAGTCAGACTGGTCAAACTGAAGGATAGGGATAATAATGATGGGATATTTGTCCTGGGAAGAGAAAGGTGTCGTGCAATCAATCCCTCACTCTGTTTACATTCAGCCTTCTATTTCCAGGTTCAGTAGCCTCTGCTTTGAACAGACATCAGAATCTGCTGAGCAATACCACTTAGCCATCCCTGAGCACATCCAGGGTGCAAAGGGCTGAGTCCCACCTCTGCTTCCTTTGGGTAAGTGGTCCAGACTGGCCTTTTAAAGGCTAGGACAACATGACTCTGCTATAAAAAATAATGTTCCAAAGGGATTTGAGATGCATCTGGACACTTAAAGAACACCAAGAAGCAGTGCTGAGTACTCATTATGAAACGACTCTGAGCTGTCTTGCTGGCTGTGAAATACTGACCAAGTCATCCTCACTGTGAGAAGTACAAAAGGAAATGTGTGCAGGGTACAAATGGAGTCTGGTGTTTGCAAGTGCTGGGGATGAGTTGGACTATTAAGAACAGGCAAATAATACATGTGTATTTTGTGGAAAAACAAAACTACCCACCCTACTCATGCAAAAACACCAGGCAGGAGAGTAATAATAATAATTAATAATAATTAATAATAATAATATGGTAGAAATCATATAGTTATGGAATGAATGAGCTAAGAAAGGGAATTGTAGGTCAGTTGGCAGAGGAACATTTAAACTCATGAAACTGCAGTGTTCCAAATCTATGTTGGCAAAGGATAAAAACTATAGAAAAGAATGTAACAGTGTGAATGGGTAGCAATAACTAGGTTAAATTTGACCCACCTTCCCTAAATAGCATTTGTTTCTAAGAATATAGGCTGACTGCCAGGAAAATTACCAGGGAACAATATCAGTATCTCTCTTCTCTTAATATACACACCCTATTCCTCATGGCTCCTTCACTGAGGGCATCTATGGTACAGACCAAACAGTGGTCCAGGACTCTTCCCATCCATCATTTGATCTTGAGGACACACTCATCAACAGTGATTACTTGAGGAACCTCGAAAGAACTAATAAGGCAAAGGTCGCTTATAGAATTATATCATTGAAAGTACTCACTTGGACATGTGTGATGGCTCACACACAGAATCCCAGCACTTGAGAGATGAAGGCAGGAAGAGCAGGAGTTTGAAGACAGCCTACACTGTATAAAACTCTATCCAAAAACAAACAAACAAATAAAGCCCACACAAATTAACAACAAAAAGAATGTGGCTATAATCAGATTTTCCATCATTTATATTTAATTATATTTAATAATATTATACTTAATTAAGTCAAGCTATTTTCTTCCACCAAGTAAATGGCTCATTTCTCTCCGGCAAAGACAGTGTTGGTGACTCACATAGAGCAGGGAGTGTCACTTCCCAGAGAATCGGCCGGAACAGCACAGAAAAAATAACATAGAAAGAACAGAAATACAGAGTCTGGAAAATGGAGGCAGCTCAACAAGTGAGGCAACCCATTAATGGAAGTTTATCTGTGGCAGGATTTTTGCCTCCCTTAAGGTAGGGCTCCAAACCAAACCGCCAGCCCAATAGCTAATGAGGACTTCTCTCTCAGAGGAGAGGACCCAGCACTTGGCTGGGGAGATGCAGGGGATTTCCATGGTTGTCCAGAGATAACAGACTGACTTGGACAAGTCAGCTGAGAATGCTGGCACCCCCTCAGAAACTTGCATAACCAAGAGAAGACTGTCCTTATCAAGAGCTTCCATAGGACTGGCTCCTCATTTTCCTGGAGCTCCAGTGAGTAATACTGAAATTCCACTATTGCGTAAGTCATTAGTCGCTTCACACAGGTTTCAGATTTAGGAAGCGAAAGTGGCAGGCTGTGAGCACTGAATTTCTGGCCTGATTGAGCCTTCCCCCATGGCTGGCCTCCAGTCAGGCAGAGGAATTCTAGGAGAACCATAACCCTCAGGCTCCAGAGACATGCTGAGTACTTAAAAGGCCGGCAAGTATTTGTAGGTATACCCTCTCAGGAGCCAGTTTTAGGAGCCAGGGAGGGTAACACACAGAAGCCAAGGCTCTGCCCTTGGGAAGCTTACATCATAGAGCATAGGAAACTCATGGCAGAGGGAGACTGAGACATTTATACCAAAGAAACCCCCCACCCGTGTGTGTGTGTGTGTGTGTGTGTGTGTGTGTGTGTGCAGCTCAGAGCGCTGCAGATAGGGGAAGCAGAAAGAGTGTCCATCAAATTGTCCAGCTGTCAGTATTTCCTTTCTTCAGGTGAATCCCCTTAATTTCTGATGAGTCTGCTTCCTACTCAAGTAGAGATCAGCTTCAGTTTGCCCTGCAAAGTGTCTTGGATGAGATATGATGGTGCATTCCTGTAATCCCAGCAGAAGGTTGACATCCGTCTGAGCTCTGAGAGATTCTCTCAAGAAAATAAAAAAAAAAAAAGCATTGTATTCTTCACAGCAAGGAAAACAATCAAATAGTGGGAGAATGAATGACAGATGCGGGAATATTTGCAAACCATGTCTCCAATAAAGGTTAATGTGCAAAGGCATCTGATATAATAAGAACAAATAACTATATTTTATACATGGGTGAGGAGGGCTGGAAAATTGCTCAGAGGTTAAGGACACTTGCTGCTCTTGCAGGGGATACCAGTTTGGTTCCCAGCACCTGTATCAGACAAATTACAACTACCTGCAGCTCCAGCTACAGGGGATCCAATGCCCTCTCACACCTCTGTAGGCACCAACCCTCAAATAATTAAAAAGTTTTAAAAAATCTAAAAAAATTAAAAAGCTGAAGCAACTAGATTGACCTTGCCCTAAAAACAACAGAGACATCACAGAGGTATACAAAATCATGATTAGCATGGCTAATCATAAAGGAAAAGCAAATCAAACCACAATGAACAATACTTTCCATCTGTTAGAGTGGCTGCCATCAAAAGACTGGAAGATAGCAAGTGTTGGCCGGGGTGTGGAGAGAAGGAAGCCACTGTGGAGATGGTAAACCGTGCAGTTATTACAGAAAACTCTGTGGGGATTTTCTCAAACTGAAAGTAGCTAGCAGCTGAGCCTTAAATTCCTCTACTGGGTACTTAGTCAAAAAAAAAAAAAATGAAAGCAGTGCATTGAAGAGACCCCTGCACCCCTAGTGTTATTTACCATGCATGAGAACGGACCACAAGATATACATACAACAAAACCCATTTGAAGATTTTATTAGTCAAGTGTGGGGAAAGGGAAGAAGGGGAGTGTGCAGGTCTGTCTGGAAGAAACATGGCAGGGAGAGGGAGTGCGGCGGGTGTGTCTGATTTTATTTTAAAGGTTGTTCAACTGCCAGAGAAGCTGGTAAAAAAGGAGGACCCTAAGAGAGACATACATGATTCCCCAGAGAAGGGGAAAGAGACAAGATCTCCTGAGCAAATTGGGAGCATGGGGGGAGGGGAGAGGGAACTAGGAGAATGAGAAGAGAAGAGGAGGGGTGAGGAAGTCATGATGGGGCAGGGAGGTTGAGTTGGGGGAAGAACAGAAGAGAGCAAGATAAGAGATAATATAACAGAGGGAGACATTATAGGTTTAAAGAGAAATCAGGCCCTAGGGAAATGTCTGGAGATCTACAAAGATGACACCAACTAACAATCTAAACAACAGAGGAGAGACTACCTTAAATGCCCTCCCCTGATAATGAGATTATGACTGACTTATATGTCATCCTATTGCCCTCATCCAGCAGCTGGTGGAAGTAGAAGCAGACACCCACAGCTAAACCTTGAACTGAAATCCAGTTGCAGAGAAGGGGAAATGATGAGCAAAGGGGTCCATACCAGGCTGGTGAAACCCACAGAAACTGCTGGCCTGAACAAGGGAGAGCTCTTGGTCCCCAGACTGATAGCTGGGAAACCAGCATGGGACTGATCCAGAACCCCTGAATGTGGGTGTCAGTGAGGAGACCTTGGAAATCTATGGGGCCTCTTGTAGTGGATCAGTACTTATCCCTAGCATAGGAATGGACTTTGGGAGCCCATCCCACATGGAGGGATACTCCCTGAGTCTAGACACAAGGGGGTTGGCCTAGGCCCTATCCCAAAGACTATGACAGACTTTAAAGACCCCCTATGGAAGGCCTCACCCTCCCTGGGGAGCAGAAAGGGTATGGGATAGGTAGGGTGTTAGTTGGCGCGGGGGTGGGGGGGGACCTCGGATTGACATGTAAAATAATTTTCTTTCTAATTAAAAAAAATAAATAAAGGTTGTTTAGCGCATGCCTATGGGGCTTATGTAGCCACACCACAAAAGTGTATTGATTATGTGGCCATGCCATGAATGTGTATAGATTACGTGGCCCTGTTGCTCAATTCGAATAGATTACATAAGGCCCTGGGATGACCAGGCATTTTGCCTGAATGATGATGGCGCATGCGCAGCCGACCCGGAAATGCTAACACCTGGAGTGACCATTTTGCCTGAATGCTGACAGCCCGGTGCTCAGCTGTGGGACCCAGGACATGCTGGAACGTAGATGTGGAATCGACTGTCTCCAATCGTGGCTGAAAGAAAAGGTGGTAGACGTGCAAATTGATATTCCAAAGCCTTGAAAAGAAACCCTGCCATTTGAAACAACATGGGTAAACCTAGAATATTTTATGTCCTGTGAAATAAGCGGCACTCATAAGACAGACTATAATACTTGATCTCATGTACGAAATCTTAGAAAGAGACTCAGAAAAGGAATCGAAATGTCTGAGGCAGTGGCATGTGGGGAGTGAGTGAGGAGGCCAAACAGAGGGCACAGATAGACAATTATAAGGGATAAATTCTGGAACATGTTATACTTCTAAGTTTAAAATGCTGTGTTGAGCATTCAAGGCGTGCTAGGAGAATAGGTCATAAATGTTCCTCACACGTGTGGTTCACTGTGGTAATAGAATGTTTATTAGCTTGATTCTGGTCATCATTACACAGCATATATGAATGTCAAAGTTTCTCATTATACCATTAAATATATGTAATTTTCATCAGTCATACTTCACTGAAGCTAAAAACAATGAAAAGAAGCGCTGGAGGTTGATGGACAGGTGAATGGGCCAGTCAGAGCTGGCGGAATGCTGAACACCTGGTGTTCAGAAGCTCTCAGGCTGGCACTCAGCTTTCCCTCCATCCAAGTCAAAGCATTTACATCTATTTGTAGCAGGCTTTTTCTTTGGGCCACCAAACAGCTTCTAAATCCTGACACAGAGACTTACCAATTATTAACTCTTGGCCTTAGTTTATGCTTGTCCCACTAGCTCTTATAACTTAAACTGTTTCTTTTCATCTATGTTTTGCCTTTTTACCTTTCTTTCTTTCTTTCTTTCTTTCTTTCTTTCTTTCTTTCCTACTTTCCTGCTTCTTCCATGTCTGGCTGGTGACTGCCTGAATGGCTGACCCTGGGTGTCTCCTCCTTGAACCTAGATTCCTCCTCCTACTTATTCTCTCTGCCTGCCAGCCCCACCTATCCCTCTAATGCCTAGCTAATGGCTGTTCAACTTTTTAAATTAGACTAATCAGGTGCCTTAGAGAGGCAAAGCAACCCATCTTTACATTGTTAAACAAGTGTGGCAGAAACAAATGCAAAACACCTTTACATAGTTAAAATAATATTCTGCAACATCAACAAATGTAACACATCTTTATATAGTTAAAGCAATATTACGCATTTCCCCCTTTTGTCTAAATAAAAAGTAAAGGTTTTAACTCTAGCATAGTAAAACTATATACAATAAGAACAATTATCAAGAACTACATTTACAATATCCAGTCCATTTACATTTCTCAAATTCCGAGAAAATACTCCATTATCTACCTTATCTTGGTGAGTCCAAAGTTTTATACTTAATTTACCTTCTATCATAAATAAGGAACTTTCTAGCTACATCTTGTCTTCAACTCTATCAAAGACCCCAGAAAGATACAATATTACCTGAGTAAACAGGAAGTACAGTACAAGCCATTTCCAAAACTATGGAAACTGGAAACAACAGAGTCATCTGACTACCTGGACACTCACGCAAAGTTCCTCCACAAGATTAGGACAGCCATATATGGCCTACAGGCCTAGAATGTCTGGCAGAATTTTGAAGGACTGTTTCACCTTGTCTTGTTAAAGTTCAGTAGTCTTTTTCCTTTGTGTCCTGTTTGTCCAGTTTGTACAGCATACTGTCATCACTCAAGGCAATGACAGTCTCTTGCCCAAATGGCTAGCTTTGCTGCATTGAAAGCAAACTCTATATGGAGGTTCTTTGATGCCCATCATCCTTTTATGAAGTAGATTGGTGCTGCCATGTCTTACTGTCATGAAAAGCCCTGTGTTAACAAAACATTTTAAATGCCATATTCTGTAGGTCTTTGAAATGTTTTAAAGATCACTTATCTACTTAAATATATCTGCTTAACCTTGAAAATATACCTAACCTTACTGCAACTTTGATTATTATAGATGAATAACTTGCATATCTTAATTATACATTACATTTTAAATGAGTTGCATAAGCACAATACCCCAAACAAGAGTAGAAACATATTTACAATATAACAAAAATAACTTTAAATTTGTATTGATATACCAAAATCCATACCAATGTAAAAAATTTGAGGTTAATAGCTGTTTTGTTTATGCTATATCTATATCTATATCCTTCCCCTAAACTATGACAAACATCCATAACCCATCAAATGACCAAAAACCACCTACACCACCTCTTGAGAATGTGAGTGTTGTATTCTCTAGACTG